TTACAACAATGTTTAACATCCCTCTTTGCCAATACTTTTATCTTTGTCCCTTTGGGAAAATGAATTTTCTTCTCATTGTGGGTCATCATTTACTGGATCTTTATATATCCAGTTGGAAAAAAAAAAGACCTTATTGTTATTTTATTTGAAGGCAAAGAGAAAGAGACAGGGATCTTTCATCTGGTGGCTCAGTGCACAAGTGGCCACAGCAGCAAGGGCTGAACCAGGCTAAACCCAGGAGCCTGGGACTCAATTCGGGGTTCCCACATGGGCAGCAGGGACCCCAGTACTGGAGCCATCATCTCCCACCTCTCGGAGTGTGCATTAGCAGGAAGCTGGACTGGAAGCAGTGTATTAAAACACAAATCAGCATGCCTAATGATTTTTTTTTAATTCCAGACCTCATGAATTTCACCTTTGTTTAATGTTGGATTTTTTTTTTCTTTTTGGTGAATTTTGTCTTTGCTGAATGTTCTGTTTTTGTGTATCTGTAAATATTCTATCCTTGAACCACTGCTCTAAGATGCAATAGCAGTGACTTAAACACAGTTTGCTTCTCTTAGAGCTTTGTGGAGTGGGAACAGAACACAGCCTTTAATCCAGCGTTAGCTCTGGTGGACCCCTAGAGTCCATTCTGGTTAGTGCTTCTGGTGAGCCTGTGTTTGGCTCTGCTGGTTCTTACCCGGGTCTACGCATGAACTTGAGTTGAGAAGCACTCAACGAAAGATCCGAGGGGGACCCCTGGCAGCTGGTGTTCGCTTGCCTTTAGTGGAACTCTCACCTTTCTGGCTCGGCCCTTCAGGACTGGAACATCATCTCCTGACTTCAAGGGAGCATGAGGCTCGAGGGACTGCTGGGGTTGCCCTTGGTGGGCCGTTGCCTGCCCTTCGCAGGCTGAGACAGCCTCAGAGCACACGGCCCTGTTCGTGTCTTCTCTCTCAGGCAGCCTTTTGGTTGTATCCGATTCCCATTACTATATCTTAGCAGAAGGTGAATACGGTTCCTACTTATTGCTGTGTTTGAATTCACTTCTGTCACTTTGCTGTTTCCCATCTGGTTTTGCTTGTTGGCTTTGCTTTGCTTTGTTTTTCTACTTTTCCTTTCCTACCCTGTTTTGGAACAATTTTGTTGTTTTTATGAAATGCAGTGAGATGGATAGGAGTCCCATCGGCTGCTTTGCCCCTCAAGTGTTTCACTGCATTTCATATAAATACAAGCAAAAAATGTCAAGTGATTATAACTATATTCTATATTCCATATATTTTGATCTCAAGAGATTTAAAATGCTAAACAAACCTGAGGTATAACAAAAGCCAAATCAAACTAGTAAAAAAAAATGAGATAAAAAAATATACTGGCTGGAACCAGGTGCAGTTGAGACACTGCAGAAAAATGACGAGTGCCCTGAAGACATAGCAGAAGCAGCTATCCAATCCAAATGAACCAGAGACACAAAACAGAATAAATTGACAGAACAGCAATGAGCTGTGCAGGAGCTTTAGAAGATGTGATAGAGGGCCCAGTGTGGCAGCCTAGTGGCTAAATTCTCACCTTGCAAGAACCAGGATCCCATAGGGATGCTGATTTGAATCCTGGCTGCTCCATCTCCCATCCAGCTCTCTGCTTGTAGCCTGGGAAAGCAGCAGAGTGTGGCCCAAAGCCTTGGGACCCTGCACCCACATGGGAGCCCTGAAGAAGTTCCTAGCTTCTGGCTTTGGTTCAGCTCAGCTCTGGCTGTTGAGGCCACTTGGGTGAACTAGCTGACAAAAGATCTTTGTCTATCTTCTCTCTGTAAATATGCCTTTCTAATAAAAATAAATAAATCTTAAAAAAAATTAAATAAGACACAATATAGGTATAACTGGAGTAGAAAAAACATAAAGAAATAATGAGCAAAGAATTCCAAATGTGATGGCAATTATAAATCCATACATATAAGCACCTCAACATCGAGCACAGGAAATAGGAGGGAAACTCAGAGGTACCCCATAAGGCCTGCAGGGTCTGGGGGAACCCTGGTTCTGCCGAATGACCCTCAGATAGCCACAATGTCACTCACAGGCCATAAAAAATTATCAACTTAAAAATTAGCCTGCTACCTGGGCCCGGCGCGGTGGCGCAAGTGGTTAAAGGTCCTCGCCTTGCAAGCCCGGGATCCCATATGGGCGCCGGTTCTGATCCCGGCAGCCCCGCTTCCCTTCCAGCTCCCTGCCTGTGGCCTGGGAAGGCAGTCGAGGACGGCCCAAAGCTTTGGGAACCTGCACCCACGTGGGAGACCCGGAAGAGGCTCCTGGCTTCGGATCGGCACAGTATCGGCCCGTTGCGCTCACTTGGGGAGTGAATCATCGGACGGAAGATCTTCCTCTCTGTATCTCCTCTCTGTATATCCACCTTTCCAATGAAAAAATAATAAAAATAAATCTTAAAAAAAAAAATTAGCCTGCTACCGATTAACTGATTTTTGAATTTCACCAGCAGCCTTGGCAAGGCCAGAAGAAATGATTCTGAGGGCCTTTAAACAGCCTTTGACCTAGATAGTCCCAACTGTTGGGTGCAGGGTGGTAAAGCAAAAGCCCTACAAGCAGTCAGAAAAACATTCATGAATGGAAAGTTACAGGCAAAAAGCAGAGTGGTAATGAATGGATGAAGACAACGTAGTAGCAATACAAAGTTGGATGCTACTAGCCAAAAAAGAGAATAAAATCTTGCCATGTGCAGCATGGATGGAAACTGAAAGCCATCATGTAAAGCGAAATGAGCCAAACGCAGACAGCCAAGAATGACACGATCCCACACACACACGGTGTGGAAAAACAAGGAGAACCCACAGAAGTGAAAAGTGCAATGGTGGAGGCAGGCGTTGTGCCAGAGTGGGCTAGGCCGCTGCCTGGGATGCCCACACCCACAGCACAATGCCTGTTATGAGTTCCAGCTCCTCCTGCTTCTGATTCGGCTTCCCTGCTAATGTGCCCCAGCCTTCCCCCCCCAACCTGCCCCTTCAGGAGTCACTATCAGAGGCTGGAGAGCGACAGGGGGAGAGGGGAATGGGGTAAAGAGGATTGATTCATGGGTACAAAGTTTCAGTGAGACAGGACCAGGAAACTCCAGTGCATTATATGTTCCTCTACCAAAAACCCCCTAGGACTGTAACCACCTTCACCATCAAGAAATGAAGGAGACAGTTCACCTACCCTAAGTGGCTGTTACCCAGCATCAACAAGTAGCAAAACTACATTGTATTCCACCAACAGATAAAACTTTCATGTCTGTTAGAACTGTTTTTTGTTTTGAAATGTACTTAAAAAAATTTTTTTTCTTCATTCCAAACAGTTTAAACTGGCTAAGAACTCTATTCATTGAAAACATATGAATAGTGGGCCTGGTGCGACAGCTCACTGTTAAAATCCTCGCCTTGCAAGTACCGGGATCCCATATGGGCACTGATTCATGTGCCGGCAGCCCCACTTCCCATCCAGCTCCCTGCTTGTGGCCTGGGAAAGCAGTCAAGGACGGCCCAAAGCCGTGGGTCCTTGCAACTGCATGAGAGATCTGGAAAAAGCTCCTGGCTCCTGGCTTTGGATCAGCCTTGCCATCTAGGGAGTGAAACAGTGGACAGAAGATCTTTCTCTCTCCTCCTCTCTATAAATCTGCCTTTCCAATTACAATAAATAAACCTTAAAAAAAAAAAGGAAATGAGGAAATGTGAACAGTTACTAGTGATCCCCTATTAGAGGGAAAACCAGTGAGAGGAGATTTGGGGGAGGGAAAGGAAATCCCAGAACCTATGGAACTGTATCATAAAAAAATAAAAGACAAAAAAGTCTGGAAAATTCATCTCCCCCCGAAAAAGAAATTGTTTTCCCTTTCTTCTTAAGAAAATTCTGTATGGGTTTAACTGAAGATTATTCTAGTATCAAGGATCTATTATGGAGCAGAATTTTCTAAAATTCATACAATTAGACAAAATACAGCAATAAAGTAAGGAGTTAAAAATATTTAAGACAAAAATTGTCATCCACACTCCCAATGCCAAAATCCTGTGTTCATTAACACAGGCTCACCATGATTACTGATGAATTTTGGATTCTAAAGCAAGGGTAGGAAAGTTTGTTTTGTTTTGCTTCTGCCCAGGGCCATCAGGATCTTTCTTTCTTCCTTTTTTCCTTCTCTCTCTCTCTTTCTTAAATATTTACTTATTTTTATTGGGAAGCCAGATTTACAGAGAGAAAGAATAAAAAGAGGGAAAGATCTTCTGTCCACGGGTTTACTCTGCAAGTGGTCAAAATGGCTGGAGCTGAGCTGATCAAAAGGCAGGAGCCTCTTCCAGGTCTCCCACATGGGTGCAGGTCCCAGGTCTTTGGGTCATCCTCCGCTGCTTTCCCAGGCCACAATCAGGGAGCTGGATGGGAAGCAGAGCAGCTGGGACATGAACTGGCACCTATATGGGATCCTGGCACATGCAAGGTGAGGATTTAGCCACTGAGCAATCATGCCGGGCCCACATCAAGATATTTCCATCATCATCCATGAGCCATACAACATTGTCAAGTTTGAAATTAACTTACTATAGATTCACCAAATTTTGAGTCCTTCCTGTGGCTGCTTTTGCAGGGGTCAGGTCACATGACTTCATGGGCCTTCTGGGCTTACTTCTGCCCAAAAGGCTTTGTGGCACATCAATGTTATCAACATGAGTTTATTAAATGAACTTAATGTAAAGCATTCCTTTTGTAAGTTTTATATTTGAGATTTTGATATGACTTTTCAACAAAACACTGCACTGCTTTAAATATTCAGAGAAATCATTGTGGATTTAAGAACTGCCAGGCATTTAATGGAGGGCAAGAAACCCACAGGCCTTTGGAGGACACACTAGCCATGGAAATGACTCACTGCTTGGGAACGCTGAAGACATAAATCGTGCAGATGATTGTTCAGCAAATACATACGGGGCTCGTCCCCACAGAATTTTCCACGGCCCATTTTACGGCGGTACTTACTGGTGCTACAATTTTTCCTGTCTGTCCAACTTGCATGTCATTGGGAACAAAGCCAGCATCAACAGCAGCTCGAGAAGCACCAACTAGGAGGGAAGAAAAATCATTGTCACTTTTCTCAAGCTCCGTTACCCACCAGCCACTTGGGATATTCACTGATGACCATAAACAAAGACCCAGACAGAGTACGGCTACATTCATTTTATGAAGAACTTTCATGTTTTTCTTTTTTCTTTTTAAATTCCCCACCATTGACTGCAAATTCTAAATTCTAGGTCCTGGTGCATTTCATCCATAGAGCTTCATAAAAACGTTTTCCGCTCCACACGTGGGTTTCAGATTGAAAATGTCATTGACCTCCTTTGCTTGGTTTACTAAAAAGGCTCTCATGAGACCTGCCCCGTAAGCTGTGTGGGATATCAATATGTGATGTGCCTTCATGTAAGAACTCACAACCTTTGAGGAAAGGTCTGTGATTTCAACATCTCTTGGGACCAATTACATAGGACACAAGACAAAGGTTTTACCAGTATTCACTGTCTAATGGATAAATAACAATTTGACTTTGTTTTAGTGTTTACTGAGAGCCTTGCATCTGGAGCAGAACACGGCTTCTCCCAGCAGGAGTCAGGAGTGAGCCTCCAGCCGCCCAGGGCAGGAGGGGGCTGCCGGAGGCACAGCTGGCTCAGCGAGACTAACAGATCCGCCCTTGTATCAGTTGGCCACTGGGAGCCCCACAGCTGTGGCAAGGTCCTCCAAAGTTAGCTGTAACTGGTGCCCACAGAGGCCGGCCTGCTCCCGAACCCACAGCCATTTCTATTCCCTCAACAGTATGATTCCCAGGCATGATCGCTCGATGGCTGCAAACCTAAATTCCCCACATCCTCCAGTTAGACGTCAGCGGCGTCCTCAGCCTCGCTGTCCCCTCAAGGCACCGCCCGCTCGGTGCCTTTCTGCCATCATCCCTGCACACTCATGGCCATTCACAGCATTCTCTTTCCACTTAGGAGCCTTCAGCTCTGGGCCTCATATCACTGGACCGTGTCATTATTGACCATAATCCTCTTCATGTCCCACCAGTTTTTAACTTCTGGGTTATGCCCACTTTCTCTAATACTGGTCTGGTTTTGGTTTCATTAATTTATTGTTTTCTTCTGCTTACCTTAGATTTAATTTGCTTTTCTGTTTGTTTCATTAGGTTGTCTGATTTCAGGTTGCCCCCTTTAAAACTGTTGCCCATTTTCCTCTAAGTGCTGCTTTTACTGCATCACACAAATTTGGATGTTTCCATTTTCACTTAGTTCAGAATGTTCTTAATTTCTCCTAGGACATCTTCATCTACACACACGTATTTAGTGTGCTATTTAATCCACAAGTCTGGGGATTTTCTAGCTCTCGCCCTTCCACTGACGTCCAGTGGGAGTCTGCCGGGTCTGAGAACAGTGCGTAGTCTCTGGTCTTTCCTCCAAATGTGCCACCGTGTACTCTATACTCCCAGGCATGCCCGAGGCATCTCAGGAGCTTCAGACCAACGTGTGTCCTGCCTTTGGACAAAGAGGTGGATAAAAGTGCCGATTGCATGCAGGTGACTGATGCTGCTGCTGAGGTCAACTGCAACCTTACTGATTCTGCTTGTTTGTTCACACTACAGGTGCTGATGCCATCAACTGAAACACGGATGTAGCTCTTTCTCCTGGCGACACTGTTGCCTGTGTATCTTGATGCTCTGTTGCTGGGAGCACACACAGTAAGGACTAGAGAAATGATATATCGTTGCGTGGTGCCCCCTTCATTCCTGATAACATCTATTGCTGTTGACCTGGCTACGTCTGAGGCTAATACAGCTGTTACTGCTTCTGACCAGTGTTAGCCTTACATTTAATGTAGTATTTTATAGACAAGATGCAGTGGAGTCTTTCTTTCATCCACTCTGACAATCTCTGCCTTTCAGTTGGTGCATTTCGACCACTGGCATCCAGAACACAGCTGGATTAACATCACATGCATTACTATTTTCCATGCGCTACCTCATCCATCTTCGTCTTCTACTCTGCTCCTCTGGTTCTGTCCCTTCCTCTCTCCTCCTCCTGCTGCTGCCCCCACGTGGATGTTGCACCTGGTAGAGCTGTCCCACACTCACCGGAAATTGATTTCTTTTTTCCTCCTTCACTTTTCAGTTACAGAAGTTTCTATCAAGATATCCTTGAGCTCAGACATTCTTTCCTCAGCCATATTCAATCGACACAAGTCTATGAAAGGCAGGGTCAGCATGGTGGCACAGCCCAGGCCTCTGTGGCACTGGCATCCATATGGACGCAGGTTCAAGTCCCAGATATTTCACTTCCACTCCAGCCCAATGCTAATATTCCTGGGGAAGCAATGGAGGCTGGCCTACGTGCACAGGCCTCTGCACCCGTGTGGGAGACTGGGAAGAAGTTCCTGGCTCCTGGCTCCTGGCTTCGGACTGATGCAGTTCCAGCCATGGCAGCCATTTAGAGAACCAGAGGATGGAAGAAATCTCTCTTTCTTTCCCCTTTTTTTTTCTCCTGTATTCTCCCTGGACATGTGTGTGTGTATGTGTGTGTATGAGAGAGCGAGAGAGAGAGAATGGGCACGTGCCATGCAAGAGAGGTCTCTTACTTTCAAGTAAAATAAACAAATATTTAAAGAAAAAACAAGTACATGAAAGGCATTCTCTGACCATTTTTTTGTTGCTGGCATTTTTACCCATCTTCCTGAGGATTTGTCTGTCTGCTTGAACTGCCCAGCTACTCTTACATACTATCTACTTTGTTCCTTAAAATCTCAGCATATTAATTAAACTCCCAGTCTGATAATTCCAACTAGCACTAGCTCGGATGCCTGACCTGTCTTCTGCTCGGCAGGATGCTTGGTGCGTGTTCCCGACAGCCTGGCCTGACACACTGGATGGAAGGCGCCGGGGTGCCTAGGCCTCTGGTGACGTGGTGTGGAGGAGGGGGAGGAGCGCCCCGTGTCCTGTGCTTTGGTGTCAGTGTTTCAAGGAGACAGGACAAGGAACCTGCTCCGTGCTTCTCCACTCCTCTCTCCCTCTGAGGTGAGACAGGATGGCCAGAATGGGTTGCAGTTTGGGTTTTTTTTCTTTTCCCATTCTGAGGACTACCAGGTGCCAGGGTTGAACTTGCTTTTCTCCCACATCAGGCACACTGGACTGGTTAACGACACATGGTCCTTGACTTAGGATGGCTCAACTAGAGATTTTCATTTTTTTTAAAGATTTTTTGATTTTTATTGGAAAGTCAGATATACAGAGAGGAGAGACAGAGAGGAAGATCTTCCATCCAATGATTCACTCCCCAAGTGACCACTACAGCTGGAGCTGAGCCAATCTGAAGCTAGGAGCCAGGAGTTCTTCCAGGTCTCCCATGGGGGTGGCCGTCCTTGACTGCTTTCCCAGGGAGCTGGATGGGAAGTGGAGCTGCTGGGATTAGAACCGGCACCCATATGGGATCCTGATTTAAGGTGAGGACTTTAGCCACTAGGCCACAGCACCAGGCCCAAGATTTTCAATTTTCTGACATGCAAAAGCTGAGGGCATTCAGTAGCAATCACACTGCACATCCTGATCTTTGGTCTCTCTCAGGCTCGGGGTACATGGCACATTCCCCCGTAAGGCTGGGCAGTGGGTGTGGCAGCAGCTCCCAGCGAGCCAAGCGACCATGAGGACCGACAGCTGCTCTCCACAGTGGGCTCCGCTGCCAAGCTATGATGTTCAGAAGGTTAGGCATATTAAACCACAGCTACTTTTCTATTTATTTCAGTGACAGAGACAGAACTCTCACCTGCTGGTTCATCCCTAAATGCCCTCCAACAACCTGGGATGTGCCAGACCAAATCTAGGAACTGGGAATGCCATCCAGGATCCCATGTGGGCGGCAAGAGCCCAGTCACTGGAGTCACCACTGCTCCGTCCCGGAGTCTGCAACGGCAGGAAGGTGGAGTCCGGAGGCACAATCAGGGACTAAGTGTGGGAACTCGGGTACACGATGTGGGCACAGTAACCAGTGTCTTATGGGGGGGCGGGACCTGTGTTCTACTAACAGGCAACTTGGATTTTTGTAACAACACCTGTGGGCCATACGCAATTATCAACTTAAAAACTAGCCTGCTGTAGATTCACTGAATTCTGAGTGGCACTGGCAGCTGCATTGGCACGGCCAAGCCAAATGCTTTCGTGGGGGTTTCTACGACCCACAGGCCTGCCATTCCCCACTCGTGCGTGAGGCTAAACAAACAGCCCCAAGCTCATTTTTGACTAGGATACGATCATGTCAGGGGTTTATTGGGATATGCCCCTACCCTGTAGATGCCCGAGGGGCGGGGGATGGTATTAGGAATAACAGAATGTTCTGGCATATCTCTGTGTGGTTTTTCTTCCCAAGGCCAATGGGTAGAACCAGTGACTTTGCCCCACTTTGCCCTGTGAGGCCGTCTCAAAGCATGGGAGCTCAGCGCTGAGGAGCCCCTGCAGCTTCCGGCCAGGGCAGCCATCCCTACTGCACCCTGCTCTCTGCAGGGATCTTCGCTGCTCTAGGACCCCCCCACCCCAGGGAGCTCAGATTCTCAGTCTCCCTTTCTCACTAGGCTTTGTATGGGGCCTCTCTTCTCTGCTGGTTCTTGGAGGAGCTGTTGATCTTTCCGTTCATTCCATTGTCTACTTGTAGATAGGCCAAAGTAACAAACTTTTTGTAAGACAGAACAGAAACCACAAGTCCTGTGTCCCAGTCCTGTCTCCAGTCCTGTCTCCATTCTCGAGCACTGCAGCACTCTGGCTTCCCAGCACCTGCCAATGACCCTGCCCCATCCCACCTCAGCCACCTTCCCGGCTGCAGCTCAGCCTTTTCCTTCTAAACAGCCCGAGGTCATCTCCACTCCCTCTTCTTTCAAGCCGACTCCCTTTGTTTTCCAACTCCAACATCCCACCATGACCTATAATTCCAGTCACTGTCTTCCTTCTTTCTTTATGCGAATTAAACCCCACACTCAGTCATGCTGATCACTCCTCTGTTCCTGCCTCTAGCATCCTTGCCTCCCCCGACCTCACCACCCTAGCTAAGAGAGAGGAACAATCAGGCAGTCTCTCCCCAGCTTCCCATCTCTGCTCTGGTAGTTCAGCCTGACTGGAGAAAAACACTCCAGCACTCAGGCGTGGTAACAGGGTCCGACTCTGAGTAAACAGACCTTGATGCTTCCTGGCAATCACACCGAATTCCCCTGGTCCTTTTATTACCTGATTCTTTCCTGAACTATAATCTACCTTTTCCCCTCCTCATCAGACTTCCTGTACCTCTTGAACACCCTCACTCGATTGGTGATTTTACTGTCTAGTCAATGAAAACATTGAAACAATCAAAAAACAAAACAATCAAAAATCTTCCATGTGTTCCAACTAAAACACCTGCCCAAGACCTGCAGCTCCGTCCACATTGTCTGTCGAGGAGGTTAAGCTGCTGCCTGGCAGTGCCAGCATCCCATAGGCGTACAAAGTTGAGTTCTGGCTGCTCCACTTCCCATCCAGGTCCATGCTAACATGCTTGTGAGAGAAGAGGAAGACGGCCCAAACCTGTCCCCACCTGAGAGACCAGGATGGAATCCCCGGCTCCTGCAGCCATTTGGGAATGAACCAGCAAAAGATCTGCTGCCACCTCTCTCCTTATAACTCTGCCTTTCAAACAAATAAATCTTAAAAAAAAAAAAAAAAGCAATCCCGCTTCTCTCCAAGGACTATTTTCACTCTCCACCCGCATCTCCACCAGGGAGACACTCTGGCTCCTGTCCGTTTCTCAGCCCCCCCCCCCCGCCCCCCAGCTAACCCCTTGAGGAGTAGGTGCTGCAGCAGAGCACATCAGCCCACCCCTTGGGACACCTGTTTCCCATATCAGAGTGCTGGTCTGAGTCCCAGTTCTTCCGTTCCTGTTCAAGCTTCCTGCAGAAGGGCCTGATGCTCCAAGTGCCTGGACCCCTGCCACTGCTGTGGGAGACGTGGATGGAGCTCCGGCCTTCGAGCTGGCCCCAGCTGTGCTGGACATTTGGAGAATGAACCAGCAGATGGAAGTTCAATTTCTTTTTCTAAGATTTTTTTTTTTTTGCAATATTTTTATTGCAAAGTCAGATACACAGAGAAGAGGAAAAACAGAGAGGAAGAACTTCTATTTGCTGATTCTCTCCCCAAGTGGCCGCAATGGCCAGAGCTAAGCTGATCCAAAGCCAGGAGCCAGAAACTCTTCCAGGTCTCCCACATGGGTGCAGGGTCCCAAGGCTTTGGGCCGTCCTCGACTGCTTTCCCAGGCCACAAGCAGGGAGCTGGATGGGAAACGGGGCTACTGGAATATGACCAGGTCCTCCCTGTCTTAAAGCGGTTCCTTGGACAAATACTTCTCTCTTAGAATCCAAACCCAATCTGCAGAAAATACTGAGGGAGGCTGGTGCTGTGGTATAGTGTGTTAAGCTACCATCTGCAACACCAGAGGTCCACAATGGAGCCCCGCTTCAAGTCACAGCTGCTCCAGTTACAATCCAGCTCTCTGTTTATGTGCCTGGCAAAGCGGCAGAACGGACCAGGTGCTTGGAAGCTACAACCCACGTGAGGGACATACACGGAATTCCAGGCTCCTGGCTTAGGGACACAGACCTGGACACTGCACCCATTTGGGGAGTAAATAGGTCTCTTTTCTCAGGGAGTCAGCAATGTTGTGTAGCATGTTGGACAGCTACCCGTGGTGCCAGCACCTCATATAGGCACAGGTTCAACTTTCAATCCAAGTCCCTACTAACGTGCCTGGGCATGCAAGTGCTTGGGCCCCTACATCTAGGTGGGAGACCCAGAAAGGAGCTCCTGGCTCCTGGCTTCAGATTGGTTCAGCTTCAGCTACCACAGCCATATAGTGCATGAACCAGCCAATGGAAGATCCCTCCTCTGTCTATTCCTCCCTTTTTCAAACAAACAAACAAGTAAATAAATAAATCTTAACCAAAGAAAGAAATCTATTTCTCTGTGCCTATCTCCTCTGTAGCTCTGCCTTTCAAATAAAAAATTAGAAAAATAAAAAGAAACTCCAAGTGGTTCCACATGTGAATATATCCCCAACTGGCCTTAGGATCCTGGAATGAACTACCAAACCTCTCCCCGGGATGGATGAAGTACACTCTGAAGTGACTAGACCCATCCCTGCCCAGTACCGCACTTAGTCCCTGCACCTTATTCTCAAACCCTTACATGATGCGTTACAGCACGGCCCTCATCCCCCTAAACCTCCACATGGAGGCCTCTGAGGCTCTGTGGGACCTGGCCCCAACGGTACACCCCATCTCCTCCCTCCCCATTTCCTCCTCTGCACCGACCAGCCCACCGTCGGCTTCCTCCCTGTTCTCCAATACTCTGCCCGTCCCTCTGGCCCAGACTCCTCAGCTCTGCACAGAGCTGCCGCACGCCCCTGGCTGTTCCTGCAGGCCCCCCCGGCCGCTGAGCTTCCAGTGCAGGCCTCCCCTCCTGCACGCCTTCTGCTCTTCCTCCACCTGCTCCATCAGCCTCCACCGCACTTACTGACAGGGCACACCAGTGCACGCCACAGAGCTCATGGAAAACAGAATTACAAGTTCATTTTGCTGTAAGAACATTTTGAAATCCTCATAATTTTCCCATAAGACACATTCTTATGAACTTTTCGAAGACCCTTAATACACAGATTTCAATTTTTTTGCACCAAAATAAACTTATCTTTTTAAATCTATTTTCCACACACCTTTTGAGGGATTTTCACATCACTTACTAATTTACTATGCTTCCTCACCCAGAACCTGTGCAGGTAACTATGTGCAGCAGACATGATGTAAGAGGGAGGAGCTCAGGAGAAGGAGCTTATCCAGAACTGTCCAGACACACTTCACGAGAGGAATGCAGAGGAGATTGGACGCAGACACAGGTGAGATAAAAACAGAGGCAGAGGGCCTGGTGTGGTAGCCGAGTGTTTACGTTCTCACCTTGCATGTGCTGGGATCCCATTTAGGCACCAGTTTGTATCCTGGCTGTTCCACTTCCCTTCCAGCTCCCTGCTTGTGGCCTGGGAAAGCAGTCAAGATCAGCCCAAAGCCTTGGGACCCTACACCCATGTGGGAGACCCAGAAGAGGCTCCTGGCTCCTGGCTTCAGATTGGCTCAACTCTGGCCGTTACAGCCTCTTGGGGAGCAAACCAGCAGATGGAAGTTCTTCCTCTCTGTCTCTCCTCCTCTCTGTAGAGCTGAGTTTCCAATAAAAATAAATAAATCTTTTAAAATAAAAAGGAAGGGAGGGAGAGAAGAAAGGAGGGAGGGAGGGAGAACAGAGGCAGAGGCTGACCCAAGTGGCCACAAGCCGAACAACACTAGGCTAGCCCAAGAAGCCAGCAGAGAAGGGTCTACTTCCTCTCCTGGAGGAAAGAGCCAAGTCCACACTGGCACCTTGACTTCAGCCCACTTCTGTCCTCTGGAACTGCAACAAAATAACTGTGCAGGTTCTCCTAGGAGATTATGATTGCTTATTTGAAATTCAGGGATACAGAGAGAGAAAGAGAGAGATTTTCCATCTAAGTTTCTGACGTGCATGGCAGGGAAACAGCTGGAACTGACATGGGATGCCAGCCCTGGTACAATACCAGCCACCTCTCTGCTCTGAGATGTTATGGTTTATTACAACAGCCAAAGAAAGCAAATATAAGGCCTACTTCATCCAAACAGAAGTGTAATTTCTGCAAGGACAGGAACTTTTGTTAATTTTGCAGACTGCTATCTTGTTGAAGTCTAAAGTGTCTGTCATATGGCACACACAATAAGTACTTGTTCAGTGACAGAATAAATCATAAAAACAACCTTCTTGAATATGGGAACATTATCTGAAGAGTAAATATTATAACTTTATTTAGATCAAACAATTATTATTTCTAAATATATATATATATATTATATAACATAAAAGCATAGAAAGACCCTAGAAGGTTAGACATATCCACAAAACTCCTAAAAAGAAAGAGGATTTTTTTTGTAAAAAAAAAAATTACATTTATATAGTAGTTATAAATTAAAATCAATCAAATATTTTAATTTCTTAATCATTCACAGACCGCCATTCTGTTATCAGCAGTTGAGTAACAGTTCTATTTCCTAAAAGTAATTAATTGCAATTAAAACATTATAAATATATTTCTATATGTGTGAAAAAAGATTACATTAGATCATCAAAAGAGGAAAACCAGCATATTCCTGAGCTCAGTAGATTCCATGTACTTTTAAACGGAAAAGAAAAATCCAAAGATTCACCAATTTCAGAGTGCCACACAAATACGACGGGAAGCAGGGCACACCCTCCTCTCCAAATGCCAGTCACTTGGAGGCCCAAGGAAAACTGTCTCATAGAGAGAAACTGCAGATGACAGAGGCCAAAACACAGCCTTGAGTGACTTACACGCGGGTACCTCAGTTAGCAGAATCATGACATTGAAAGCAGCAGTTAACCAGGTGCCAAAAAAAGGGACTGAACCCCATGTGTATAGTGCTTTCATACTGTGTAGTTGCCAGCAACTTTGTGAAGACCCCAGCACACAAGAATGAAAAAACAACGCGCAACCCCAAAAGAAAGGACACATCTTTGTAGCTGGAAAAGTAACTCTACCTGCGGCATGCAGCTGGTCTGCCAGGTCATACAGCAGCTTAAAGTTCTCTCCGCTCTTCAAGCCCCGACCTCATTTTTAAGAATGGGGGAAAAAAAAAAGAAAGAAGTTAATGTACTCCTTCCACATAATCTTGCTTTTTTATACAACTGAATTTTCATATTATACAATTAAGCCTGCCATTATTCTGGAAAACCTTTTCGACTTTTCCTACAAAGCATTCTACACTATTACAACTAGCTACCAGCTAACTAGCACTGTGACCTTTAATAATTTCTCTCCCTGGAACAGAACCTCGTGGCTGCAGGCGCCCCACCAGCCAGGCCGCTGCTGTGTCTGCACTGTTTAACAGAATGCCACAGGCAGCGGAGAACGTCTGGAAGCCATCCCAGCAGACTTCCAGCTTCTCCATGGCCTTCCCGCTTCTGTTTCAGCACCCCGTAGCAGGCTGTCACAGCACAGCTATCCAATACACAGTTCAAAGGGAACGCACAGGTCAGACACAGCTTCTCAGGACCGAAGGCTAGTGGGAAAGTTGCTTTCTCTGCTGTTTAACTTGGAAAGACTTTTAAATCACAGCCTTCAGGTTCTCAAAAAACAAACAAAACAAACAAACAAAACAAAACAAAAAAAACGGCAGGCTACAAAAAGTCTTTTTGTTGTTTATTTGCTTTTTAACTAAAGAGCAGGATGTATAAAAAGAAGCAAGTCTTGGGCAATATTAGCAGTCAGATTCTGAATGTAAGGAAACCTTCCAAGAGTTATCCAGGGTCCTGGACCACTCTGAAAGTAGAACAGAGGGTCGTCCCCATTTGAGATGCCATGGGGTTCCCCCATAATTGAGAAGCCATCCACACTGCACGGAGCGAGAAGGCTCCAGGCAGACAACAGTCACAGCACAGCTGTGGCGACGAGCTCTGTGCCACGTTCTCCCTGACGCCGGCGACCCAGACATGCTCCAAACAGCCAAACGCTGGAGCAACACTTGCAACTTACCTACTTTCCATTTGGAAAAAACGAAAACAACCGTGCTCCTCCAAGGTAAATGCTAAAAAAAAAACAGGCCCAGTACTGGACGCTTATATGGTTTAAAATCACTGTTCCACTTACCACCAGAGACCACCACTTTGGCACCCGTCAGCTCTGGCCGGTCGCTCTTGGTTAGTTTCTGGTCTAGCCACTCGGACACCCCCACCGGTGAGGTACTAGAAGCTGCACACATTGACATACACAATAAGATAATGACTGTCAGTTCAAATTCTATCAAGACAAGACAAACAAGCCCATAATGCCATGTAAGTGTATCAATTACTGTGACTGTTCCAGTCACTGGATTCCATTTGCTCTGATCATGGGAAGACTCAGGCGACCATCGCAGCCTTTCTCACAAGAGCAGTGTGGCTTCAGAGCAGTCACTGATCTACAATAACGCTCTCTGCAAGGTACACCCAGCTGCTGCGCACATGAAAGTTGAACACCTCTGTACAGGTAGTGCACATTCTCTGCCACATGTAACAGCCCAAGTGTAACAGCAGACAACAACAACAGAGCAAAATGCTTCAACAACATAGCAGGTGGATCTCCATGGGTTATCTCCCTCCCATTCCCTTCAAAGCAATGGTCCTGCTAATGTAACATGGAAATGCATTGCAAATATATTTTACTAGATAAAACTTTCAAATGCTCTACTTCAGAAATTTAATTAAAGGTCATCTTTTATTCTAAATTCAATACCATCTATGAACACAAAACACTAGCAATCAAAAGAACTGGGTCCAGGGCCTGTGGGTGGCACTGTGACGCAGCACGCTGAGCTGCCGCCTGTGACAATGGCATCCCATGGCACAGCACTAGGAAAAGTGGCACAGATGGCCCAGCTACTTGGGTCGCTGCCAGCTACAAGGGGTATAAAGATGGAGCTCCTGGCTCCTGGCTCCAGTCTGGCAAAGACCTGGCCCTTGTTAGAGAGAACTAGCCGATGGAAGGATCTCTGTGTCTCTCTCCCTCTCTCAATCACTCTGCCTTTCAAAATAAATAAGTAAATCCGCCCCCCCAAAAAAAAACCTAACAGCTACAACAAGAAGAAACCCCCAAACTCTAGGACTGGGCCTTTTCCCGGTACCTAAGAGACTCACTCACAGCCTGTATCGGAGTGCTTGGGTTCAAGACCTGACTCCGCTTCCTTTTTTTTTTTTTTTCTAAAGATTTGGTCACTTATTTGAAAGAGTTACAGAACGAGAGAGGTCAAGAGGCCTTCCTTCCACTGGTTCACTTCCCCAGGAGTCCAGAATGGCCAGAGCAGATCTAGGTCAGAGTCAGGAGTCACACAGCTGGGTCTCCCAAGTGGGTGGCAGGGGCCCAAGCACGTGGGCCAGCCTCTGCTTCTTTTTCCTAGGCCATTAGGGAGCTGGATTGGTAGTAGAACATCCTGGACATAAGCCAACAGGCAAATGGGAGGCTGGCACTGCAGGTGCCACACCCTGGCCCCCTGCGTCCACTTCTGACTCCAGCTTCTAGTAGAAGGACCCCCGGGGGCAGCTGGTAGTGACTCAGTGCTTAGATACCCAGCACTCACATGGGGCATCTGGATTGAGTTCCTGGCTCCCAGCTTTGGTTTGGCTCAGCCAAGTCTGTTGTGGGTATTTGAGGAGTGACCCAGTAGACACGAGAGCCCTTGGTCTGTCCTTCTGCCTTACAAAAGCAAACTCCCTTTCCAAATACACTTACCGTTTTCTGAACTGGCACTACCTCCACTTGTTGCCGCAGCTTCGAAAGATGTTCCTCGAACAGAAAACACCTTCACTTTCTCATCACACTTCACTGTACACAAAGCATTTCCTGAAATACATGATTAAGTTTCAATGCACCGTAACAAAGGGCCACAGAACGGGCGTTCCCCTGAGGCTCACAACTTACTTCACAAAGGCAAGGCAAGAAATGTCTAGGAAATAGCAACCACTACTTGTACTAAGTACTGGGAAAACACAAGTGTAACAGGAAGAAACCCATCAGCGGACACCTGTCTAACCCTGCGTTGTCTGTAAAGACAAGATGGGCTCTGGCTCTGTCTCTCTTTCTCTCTGTAACTCTGCATTTTAAATGAAAAAAAAGAAAAACAAACAAACAAACAAAAATAAGACAGGCACTGACCTGTCTGGAGGCAGATCCAACTAAGGAGTTGTACCCTCACCATCAGGGACATGTATACAGCTTCCTCCTTTGAAAAGAGCTCCCCCAAACCCAGGAGCTGCAGCAACTATTAAACTCTGCTACCGTCCATGTTACACGCAGAGCGTATGTGAAAACACGGCAGGACACAAACAACAAGTTCCAAAGTGTCAACTGTTTGGAAGGGCCTGCATTTATTACCAACTTGCAATCAGCTTCAGAGCGACCAAACACCTCCCCTGAAACACTGCAGAAGACAAAAGGTCTGACTGGGAACACAAACTACTTGAATCAGAAAGAACAGAGTCCACAGCCTCCTGCAGCCCCACCAGAGGCCAGAGTGCTCAGCAAAAGATCAATCAACTCTAGAGCTGGTGAAATGCATTTCTTAATGTACATGAAGTAGGAGAAGCAAAGATGATTAAAAATATGGTTTAAAAAACAGGTTTGTCTTTCCAGGTGCCACTGATAACATATACTGGAGCATTAACCTAATTTCTATTGGACACTGGAAACTTCTCTGCCAATGGAGCGAGCAGGCAGGAAAGCCCAGGGCTCGGACAGGAGAGCAGCAGCGGCCTGCGCTGAGGCTGCCCACCCCCAGGAGCCCTCGAGGGGTCTACTGGAAACCACTGCACGTTCTGTTTTCAACTCCTGTCCCATCAATGACTTTCTACTCTGCACTAAAACATAACAAGTTGGTCATGGCTACTCACCCGCATAAATAGTCCTCACAAACGTGTCGGGAGACTTGATGGCAATGATGTCAGAAATGGGGGCAACATCAAGCTTGGCCGCTACTCTAGGCAGAAGGTTCTAAGAGCAAAACAAGCAGCGAGTTACACACGCACACTAATGGGCAGCAATAAGCTGTCAACAGTGGCATCTTCTAAATGCATGCTGCACAGACATTCTAACTCAAGTCTTTCACATTTCACACGTACCTTTGGAAACACTACACTCCAGGCTCGGCTTTCTGGACAGCCTCTCAGACTCAGTGCCCACCATTACTCTAATTACACTAAGGGTTTTCAGTTTTACAGTAATAAGCCACCTTAATTCAATACACTGAACTATGAAATATGACACTTGCTTTAGTGAATGTTAATTACAAAGTTGTGACAGTTACGGATTACTGAAATTATATAAGAGGGGAAAAATTTAAAATAGTAGAATTCTAAAATACTATGAAGAATTAGACTCGTATATATCTTTATTTAATGTGTAAGAAAGAAAAATCTTCAAAGCAGACCTTTCACCTTTTGTTGATATCACAGTGTATAGAAAGAGCATGAATGAGCATGAATGAGCCTTGGAGACGATGCTTAGCACTCCCCACACTCACCACAGAGCGCCTGGGGCAAAGGACCAGCTCAGCTCCTGAGCCAGCTTCCTGCTAATAAACCCTGGGAAGCTGTGACAACGGCTCCAGGATGCGGGGCCTGCCGCCCACCGCCTCTCAGCAGCCCTCGTGTGCGTTCCTGACGGCTCCAGGATGCGGGGCCTGCAGCCCACCGCCCCTCAGCAGCCCTCGTGTGCGTTCCTGACTGACGGCTCCAGGATGAGGGGCCTGCCTCCCACTGTCCTTCAGCAGCCCTCGTGTGCGTTCCTGACTGATGGCTCCAGGATGCGGGGCCTGCAGCCCACCGCCCCTCAGCAGCCCTCGTGTGTGTTCCTGACTGACGGCTCCAGGATGCGGGGCCTGAAGCCCACCGCCCCTCAGCAGCCCTCATGCTGCCCACCGCCAACAGAGTCCTCAAGCAGATTCCTGACTGGTAGCTTTAGCCTGGCCCAGCTTTGCCTAGTCCAGAGCCAGCTGCGGCAGACACCTGGGGAATAATGTAGTGGGTGTGACATCACTGTCATCACCTGTCATCACATCATTCTTTCTGCCTTTCAAGTAATTTTTTAAAGAAAATCAAAACTAACCTGAAGAATTGCCTTTATAGGATAAATTAACAACAGCAACAAAAAGACACATAGGGATTCACTTCTGTGTGCAGACAGCATCTGTGGAACAGACCCACGTGCTGCCATCTTTCTTACCGAAAAGGACCCAAGGGAAAGTCACAACTTGCCCAGCCTCAGCTCCTTCGTTTCACTAAGGGGAGAAGCACGAGGCGTCCAGCTGAAGGCCCACGGCTCCCAGCTCTAGACCGGAAGTGAGTGAGTGCAGACTGGCCATCACTTCCCTCTGGATTCCAGCGTAGTGTCACCAAAACGTGAAGTGTTCCTTTTTATTTCACAAATGGAAAAGCTGACTTCCGCACATCCACACAGCCGGCTCTCCAGCACCTGTCACTGCAGTGGGTGACACTGCCCCTGGGGGCACACTTACCCACGGTCGTCTCCACCTCCTCCCTCAATCCCAGCTTGTTGAAGATTCCCATACTGTGGTCTTTCTTTTATTATTATTATTTTAAGATTTTAAAAATTTTATTGTAAAGCCAGATACACAGAGAGGAGGAGAGACAGAGAGGAAAAAATCCTCCATCCACTGCTTCACTCTCCAAGTGGCCGCAATGACCACAGCTAAGCCAATCCAAAGCCAGGAGCCAGGAGCCTCTTCTGGGTCTCCCACATGGGTGCAGGGTCCTAAGGCTTTGGGCTGTCTTCAATTGCTTTCCTAGGCCTCAAGTAGGGAGCTGGATGGGAACCAGGGCTGCCAGAACATGAACCGGCGCTCATATGGGACCCCGGTACAGGCAAGGTGAGGACTCTGGCTGATATGCTACCACACCAGGCCCCATACCGTGGTCTTAATCATCACTCCTTTATTCTGTGTCCTCTCATAACATGTACGATTATATGATGATTAACATTAACATGTACTTTCTTTTAAAAGAATCCTCTAAACACATAAGGTCTATTCTTTTGGATCTAGGTGCTCACATAAATTTCCTGAGACAGTTATCTGTCTCTTTAAAAGGTACACGGGCTTAGGGCCTGGCGCGGTAACCTAGTGGCTAAATCCTCATCTTGCAACCACCAGAATTCCACATGGGAGCCAGTTCATGTCCTGGCTGCCCAGATTACATCCAGCTCCCTGCTTGTGGTCTGGGAAGAGTTGAGGACACCCACGTGGGAGATCCGGAAGAAGCTCCAGGCTCCTATCTTTGGATCAGATCAGATCAGCTCCAGCTGTTGCGCTCAATTGGGAAGTGAATCATCAGACAGAAGATCTTCCTCTCTGTTTCTCCTCCTCTCTGTATATCTGACTTTCCAATAACAATAAATAAATCATAAAAAAAGAATAAAAGTTTTATTTCTTTTTAAGTATACAGGTTTAGAGCTAGTGTTGTGGCACAGCAAGTTAAGCTACTGCTTGTGAGGCCAGCATCCCATGGGGGCACTAGGTCCCAGCTGCTCCACTTCTGATTCAGCTCCCTGCTAATGTGCCTGGAAAAGCAAGACAAATTTGTCCAACCAGTTCATAACATCCACTGCCAGATCCAAAAACCAGGACAGGGTGAGGGACAGGCCAGGTTGGGCCACAACATTAGGGCTAGGACTGAAGGCTGGCTGGGTCAGGCTAGGCTGCAGTACCCACCAGTAGCAACTGGTACTGGAGGCAGACAAGGTTGGGACAGGCTACAGCACCCATGGAAAGATGCCAAGGTGAAGAGGGCCATGGCAGACTTGGCAACAGCATCACCAGCACAGATGAGACCGCAGGGAGGGGAGCAGTATAGGGCTGTTGTGGGGGGTGGCCCCTGTTAGGCCGCTGTTCCCACTGGCAAGCATGAGAACTGGGATGGGGGCAGACCAGGTTAGGCAGGGCTACAACACCTGTTGGCCTGCATGTGAACTAGGTTAGGGGAAAGCCAGGCTGGGCTAACTGACTGTATCCACTGGTGCATGCAACACCCAGAATAAGTGCAGATTGGTTGGGATTTGCCACAGCATCAGCTGACAAGTGCTGGGACTTAGGGCAAGTCCTGTGACATTAGACTGCAGAACCATCCAGAGAGTGCAAGGTCCGGGACTGGGAGTGGGCCCAGCAGGGAAACTGGGCATCTCTCTGATGGACTGCAACTCCCACAGGTGAGCATGAGAACCAGGGCTGGGAGCGAGCCTGGCTAGACAGGTGGTGGCACCTGCTGGCATGAGTGTGGGCTGGAGGGAGGAGTTGATTGGGTTGAACTAGGCCTCAAAACCCACTGCTGTGTACAAAAACTGAATGAGATGTAGGACAGACTAGAACAGTGTGCTGCACAAATTGGCAAGCACAAGAACCAGGGCTGGGGGCAGGCCTAGTGGGTGTTACTGGCGGTCGCTCCAACTAGGTTGCAGCTTCCACTGCTGTGTGTGACAGCTGAGTGTGTGGTGGGCAGGTTCAGGTTGGTTTGCAGCATCCATTGGTTTAACTAAGAGGTGGGGCTGGAGATAGAACTGACCCAGCAATTGTAACTATTAGTATGTGCATTGCCTGATGTGGGGGACAGACAGAGATGGACCCCTTACTGGGAAGCACACACAAGAGTCAGGTCTGGGATCACTTCAGACAGGGTTTCTTTTGGGATTCTCCCCAACTTAACCACTAGACTCAGAACTCCAACCAGCAGGAGAATCAGATCTGTGGTCTGACTGTGGAGTACAGGTGTTAGAACTGGGCCTCCGAAATGGCTTGGACAGAGCAACGGATGGCATACCCAGATGCACGTGGAGGATTTGTCAGTCCATGGGAACCTGCAGAGGACAGCTGATACCACAGCAAAGGAAGGAGGGCAGAACAAGTTGATCAACTACTCAAGCCAATTGTTGGCAGCAAATATCTGGGTGAATGAAGAATCTAAGGTGTACTATGTCAACCAATGGACCTTGGAAAGCTCTCCTCATCCTTGGATCTGTGAAATAAATAGCATTTTAGAACTACTGAGACCACTTGAGCAGAACCCTTCGAGAATGCTCCACATCGGGGACTCTGGGATGACACGGATGGTTATTTCCCATCTCTGCATAGGTGCAGCTTCTCTGCTCATCTCCCTTTTCCCCCAGATATAGGAAGAAAAAAATTAAATGTGGAAACAATGATCTCACCCACTTTCCCTTGCCTGGGCCCTTTTCCACCCTAATCAACTACGTAAACATGAAAAATAAAATTTGAAAAAAAAAAAAAAAACATGGCCCTAGTCCTTGGGCCTCTGCACCAGCTCCAAACTTCTGGATTTACCCTAGCCTAGCAGTAGAAGTTGTAGCCATCTGGGAAAAGAATCCGTGGGATGGAAGACCTCTATCTCATTCCCTGTAACTCTGCCTTTCAATTAAACAATTTTTAAAATAAATACATATATAGTTTTCATCAAATGTTTACAGGATGGGCATGTGGGCTAGCTGTTCGGACATCAGCTGGAATACCTGCATCCCATATTGGAACGCCTGGGTTCAACCCCAACTCGGCCCCCAGCTCCAGCTTCTGCTCATGTGGACCAAAAGACAGCTGAGGATGGTGGCTGGAGTAGCTGGATCCCTACCACCCACACAGGACACCTAGATGAAGTTCGGGGTTCCTGGCTACAGCTTGGCTCAGTTCTGGCCATGCAGACTTTGGAGAACTGAACAAGATGACAGATCTTTCTCATCTGCCTCGCTCCCTCAAATAAATCAATAAATAAAAATCATAGAAAAAATGTTTTCATGATATAGGTTTGGTCATATGGTTTCTGGGTGAAAAAGCAGTATCTGCTCCTGCGTTCTTTTTTCAGCACACAAAAAAATCTGGGACCCGCTGCGGTGGCCTAGTGGCTAAAGTCCTTGCCTTGAACGCACCGAGATACCATATGGGCTCCGGTTCTAACCCCGGCAGCTCCACTTCCCATCCAGCTCCCTGCTTGTGGCCTGGGAAAGCAGTCGAAGACAGCCCAAAGCTTTGGGACCCTGCACCTGTGCGGGAGACCTGGAAGAGGTTCCGGGTTCCCGGCTTCAGATTGGCGCAGCACCAGCCATTGAGGGCACTTGGGGAGTGAATCATCGGACGGAAGATATTCCTCTCTGTCTCTCCTCCTCTCTGTATATCTGACTTTGTAATAAAAAAATAAATAAATAAACCTAGCATCCGAGTTTGTAAGTGTGTAATTCCAAAACCACAAGTGATGAACAACTGTCACAAAATTTCACCTCGCTGCTTCTGAGGGACTTTCTTGCTGCAAACTCATCAACAGGCTACAGAATCAGTTGTTCCGACGTCACCTTCCTCAAAACTTTTGCCAGCACAGCAACAAAGGCCAGAGAAGAAACATCTAGCTGACGAGCTACAGTAAACATCCACTCACTCATGGCCTAACACCCTTCCAGGTGAGCTGCTGCCTCAGAAACCAAGACTCAGACGACTGTTCAGATCGTCTAACACAGCACCAACATCCTCACAGACAGAAGGACCCACGGAGACCTTGCCACCCACCGCATCCGTGTGGAAAATGCTAAAACACGCAGTACCAAGGGCTATCCACTGAGTAAGACGCCGCAAACATTTGAAATCACGTAGCCTCCGCCTCACCTCTTCTAGAATTAACATCAATGATGCAGACAAGCGGTGGCTAACACAGAGAAGCTGAGGTTGGCTGGCACCTACCTAAGGCCTCACTTGCACTGCCCAAACCCAGGCGAAAACCACAGCTTCCCTGCGGACGCTGAGAACCAATACCAACTAAACGCAGCCAACGTGGCTGGCGGCAGCAGCCCTACGGGAGGCCCTCTGGCTCATAGTAATTCCCATGGCCAGCATTCGCACCCTCATCAAGCACCCAAACATGTGACACTTCAGAGATTTCCAGAGACAAGGGAACGGATGGTCCTCAGGCCCCAGCCAGAGCTCCAGCCCCTTTCAAGTGCCAGCTAAACCTCCGACGGCTCTGCCCAAAGCCTGCAGATCACCTGGAGGGACGGCCTCCGGCCTCGCTGCCTCTCGGGCATGCGCACGCTCCTTTCTGACTATGTACTTTTGCTTCACACACAAAAAACCTTGCTTCCCTGACCTTTACCAATCTCTGTCCTTGAATTCCTTTTAGTATGAAAGACCCTAGCAACAGTCAACACATAACACCAGACACGCATACAAACAAGCACAAATATTTACAAACGACCTAACTGTGAGATATTACACAATGATAAAATATGAGCCACTCCATGGCCTAACAGTTAAGACCTACTCTTAGATTAAAAAAAACAAAAAACAAAAAAAGTGCTAATCACAAACAACTCACCGTATACTATCCCATTTCAGAAGTTAAAAAGAAATTCTATGTTATTTTATTTGGCTAAATCCTCACCTTGCAACTGCCAAGATTCCATATGGGCAACAGTTCATATCTCAGCCGCTCTACTTCCCATCCAACTCCTACTTGTGGCCTGGGAAAGCAGTGGAGGACGGCCCAAAGCCTTGGGACCCTGCACCCGTGTGGGAAACCCAGAAGAAGCCCCTGGCTCCCGGCCCTAGCCATTGCAGCCATTTGGGAAGTGAATCAGCAGATGGAAGATCTTACTCTCTGTCTCTCCTTCTTCCTGAAAATCTGCCTTTCCAATATTGGATCCCAGCACATGCAAGGCAACAATTTAGCCATTACACTGCACTATTGCACCTGAGCCATTTTACAATTTTTTAATCCAGACAGAGAGACTAATGTGCAACTGTGACAGGTGTGTTCCTGAAGACAGGGTGAGTGGGGAATCTCCTTGCTCTGCACACCGAAGTACTGCATGCACCCTCCTAAGGAGCTGCATTGGTGCAAAACTTATAATTACTTGAAGTAAAATTAAACACTGAAAATCACAGCTTCTTCAGAACGGAATGGGAGGCAGCTAGGATATTACTCATAGCCACAAAAGACGCAAGGAAGACCCACTGACTAAGGTTTTGTCCTGGTCCCTCTATACTCTTCCTCCCTTTTGTCTTAATTGTATGAAAACCCCTGTGCATCTAACAGCTCACTCTTTCTTCACACCTATCACAGTGCACATGGTCAAATTATACTTTTTTTTTCTATTTTAAATGATGTATTATTTATTCAAAAAGAAGAGGTGACAGAAATAGAAGAGACCTTCTGTCCACTGGTTCACTCCCCACACTGCCGCCAAAAGCTCAGGCTGGGCCAGGCCAAAGCCAGGAGCCAGGAGTCCCACCCTGCTTGCCCACATGGCTGGCAGTGGCCCAAGCACTCAGACCGTGTTCCACAGCCTCGCCAGGCACGTGAGCAGGAGGCTGGATCCGAAGTGGAGTAGCTGGGACCACAGCAGCATTCAAGCTATGGAATGCCCACACTGCATGCAGCATCTTAAGTTGCTGTGCTACAAACACCAGCCCTTTATTACTTTGTATTTGCTCTAGAAATCCAGACAGAAACATACAGAGACATAAATTTCCCCCTACTGATTCACTCCTCCAAATGCTCAATACAGACAGGACTGGGCTGGGGCAAAGGCCAGGAGCCGGTAACTCAATCCATGTCTCCCATGTGTGTGGCAGGAACCTAGCTGCTTGGTCCGTCACAGCTGCTGCCTCTCAGAATCTGAACTGGCTTAAAACCAGAGCCAGCAGCCAAAGACAGGAATTAAACCCTGATATTAAACCCTGACTCTGATATGGGGTAATCACCAGGTTAAACAGCTGCTCCCAAGTTACATCTCTATTTACCCTAGGATAGCTTCAACCATACCATAGCTCTTTACAAACCCCAAGTAGACAGAATTTGGCCCCAGCAAGTCACTACTGAGACACCAGCATCCCATAGCAGAGTGCAGTTCGGTTCTTAGCTAGTCGCTTCCAACCCAGCTTCTTGCCAATGCACCTGGAAAGGCAGTCAAGGCAATCCCTGACAACCCAAGTACTCACAAGGAAGAGCCAGAGAGAGTTCCAGCTCCTGGCTGTGCCTGACTCGACCCTGGCTACTGCAGCCATGTGGAGACTGAACCAGATGGAAATTTTTCGTCTTTCTCTCTTTCTCTTTCCAGTAATTCAGTAAATAAATATTTCTGGACCCAGTGCTGTGGCATAGCAGGTAACAGGCCACCTGGTTTGAGCCCTGGCTACTCTGCTTCCAGTCCAGCTCCCTAGGCCTAGGAAGAGTAGCAAATTTGGCCCAAGTGTCCGGATCCCGCTGCCCACACGGGAGATTTGGATGACGCTCCTGGCTTCAGCCTGACCCTGCCCCATCCACTGCAGCAATCCAGGCAGTGGACCCGGGAATCTTAGATTTTTCCATTTTTCTCTCAATCTAACTTGTAAAATAAACACCTTTAAAAAAAATCAATCAATAAATATCTAATGCCACCCAAACAAATCATTTCTTTAAGGATTACCAATACAAAACAATATTCTCCCTCTCTCACCCTCCCCTTCTCCATCAACACATTCACACACACACTCTAGCATCATCATCATCATCATTATTTTTTTTTTACAAAGAGAATGTACAAATAGTATCCTACGTAGCATTTTCTCCAAGGCAAGATCTTGGAAGCCTAGAAGTGGCACTTGGATGAGTTATGACAAAATCTTGAAAGAATGAAGAGTTATCTCTGTGACAAAATCTGAAAGTCTGGAAATAGCATTTGTAACAGAAATTATGTCAAAAATCTTGAAAGACTGCAATTCAGCGAGACAATCACATGGATTCAAACAGATCTGGACTGGCTGTCCAAACAAAAGTCGGGGGTCCCTTTCTGGCACAGTGAAACCCGACCCTTCCGGGGCTGACATCAGAACCCGCGTTCCCAGCCGTCTCACCTTTCCAAAGGCAGATGCTCCGGCACAGATGTGTGTGTAATTGAACTGCTTCTGCGTTGCCAGGATCAGTGGTGTCAGCTCCTCTGAGGATTAAAAGCACAGAATAGAATCTGTTTCATATACGGTCCAACCGCACATGCCCGGGTGGAATTCAGACACCAGAAACACCTCACCTGGAAGCAGGCCCTTGTACGCATCGTGCTGAGCCACCAGGACTTTCGTCACACCTTCCACCTTACACAGCTCTTGTGCCACCTGTGATTAAAAGATCGGTTTCTAACTTTACATGGGCAAGAAATACACAAAAGAGCCACAGAGTACCAACAGAGAACTAAGCCTTAGTGCCCAACTACAAAAATCATTTTTATTAGCAAATAGACGACCTAGATTTTTTTTTAATTCTTCAACAGAGAAAATCTTACACTAACTGATCTTAGCATTCATGGAACTTACGTAGTCCTACTATAAAACATTTCAACAAAAACTATTGTCTTGAGGGAAAAAGAAAAAAAAAAAAAAAAACACCACTGACAGGCAAGGCCAGTATAGCTCTTCACTCAAACAGATCTACACACTGTGCCCTCTGCCTGTGATTCAGGGCAAGCTCAGTCCGTCAACTTGGAAAGGGAGAAAATGAGCCTGCTCTCTGCCAACCGCACACCCAAAACAGCTCACACTTAGGGATTCTCAGGGGGAAAGGACAGACCGAACCAGGCTTATCTTGAACAATAATTTCTGCTGATAGTGAAATTAACAGCACTTTGTAAAAATGAAATGTTCTTGAGACAGGCCACTGTTAACCACTGAGGTGTGCCCACATACAAATGCGGGTTCTTCAAGAAGCACACAGAGCAGCTGGTGCCTGGCATTCCATAGCTTGAACGCTGCTGTGGTCCCAGCTACTCCACTTCGGATCCAGCCTCCTGCTCACGTGCCTGGCGAGGCTGTGGAACACGGTCTGAGTGCTTGGGCCACTGCCAGCCATGTGGGCAAGCAGGGTGGGATTCCTGGCTCCTGGCTTTGGCCTGGCCCAGCCTGAGCTTTTGGCAGCAGTGTGGGGAGTGAACCAGTGGACAGAAGGTCTCTTCTATTTCTGTCACCTCTTCTTTTTGAATAAATAATACATCGTTTAAAATAGAAAAAAAAAGTATAATTTGACCATGTACACTGAGAGAAGATCCAGGCTCCTGGCTTCAGAACAGCCCAGCTCCAGTCAATACAGTCATTTGGGGAGTGAGCCAGTACATGGAAGTACTCTCTCTTTCTCTCTCTTTGCCTTACAAATAAATGTATCTTTTAAAAAAGTAAAATAAGGGACCGGTTTACTGACCTAGCAGATAAAATCCTCACATTGTACAAGATCCCACATGGGTGCTGGTTCTAATCCCAGCAGCCCTACTTCCCATCCAGCTCCCTGCTTATGACCTGGGAAAGGAATCAAGGACGGCCCTAAGCCTTGGGACCCTGCACCTGCATGGGAGACCCAAAAGAGGCTCATCGTTCCTGGCTTTGGATTGCAGCAGCTCTGGCCATTGCGGTTATTTAGGGAGTGAATCAGCGGACGAAAAATCTTCCTCTCTGTCACTCCCCCTCTTTGTATATCTGACTTTGCAATAAAAATAAATAAATAAATCTTTAAAAACAGTAAAATAACTCAAAGGTAAATTTATTTTGGTGTGAAAAGTTTTGAAATCCATGTATACCAGGAGTCTTAAAAGGTTAAAAAAAAAAGAACTATGTATGGATTTTAGAAATGTTTTTGGCACCAGTTTAAATCTATATAAATACATATTTTTTATTATTATTATTACATTGCATTATGTGACACAGTTTCATAGGCTCTGAGATTTCCCCCAGCCTCCCTGTGCCCTCCCCCCTGGTGGATTCCTCCACCTTGTTGTAGTATTAGAGATCAAATTAAGTCCCTATCTTTCAATTCTTATGTGGCATCAACTTTTTGAAATACCTTCACATATGTATCTATGACAAACCAAACTACTTCCCACTTGAGTGCCTCCTCTTCCTCATTTGGGATCAGGTGGAGGTCCCGGGACACTTTCTGACTCTCGGCCGTTCAGCAGCCGCCCGGGTGGTGCCTGCCGGCCCTCTGCGCACTGCAGGGTCAGCGGCCCTCCTTCCCGGGCGAGCAACTTCCAGCAGAGCCGCCCTGCCTCCTGGGCCAGGCCCGAGGCCCTTTACTGCGGCCAGATCAGGACTCGGCTTCTCAAAGTCAGAGTATTTCCAGCTAGGAAACACATTTAATTCCAAAGTAGCTGTGTAGCAGCACAGGTTATAAAAACACACAGATATTTTCTGTTGAAAAATAATTTGTTTTTTAGTTGGCAAAAACTTCAACATTATACAAAGAATCACTTGCTATCTGTCATAAACAGCTACAGAAAATCAAGTGAAACTGCAATCAGCCCTATTATGAACAGTCTCTTTATTCAGCCATTGATTGCTTTCCTTTCAGTTACCACATGATATGATAACCAGATTGTAACCAAGTAGATTCCAGGCATTTAAAAAGTAATACTAGAATAATTATCTAAGATCACAGCAAAAACAAATCCAGAATTTGTATATATTTGAAGAGAGTAAGCAAGGAAAGACAGCTTGGCCGTGTCATCACACATTGTGGTTAATGTCAACTGTATGAGATTCAAGGTTCGCCAAAAGGAATGACATAAAGAAATCCACGTAGCTGACCCTAAGCCAGCTGCTGGGATGCAATCCTTTACAACACAAACTTCACGGAAGGAATTCCAGAAGCACCTCTGGCATGGCACATCTTCCTGCCCCACGCTCTGAGAGGAACACTCCCTCTCCAGGTTCCAACTGCAGAGGCCAACACTCCAGCCAGACCCTGGGCAGCCTCTTTCCGGAGTGGGAGGAAGCAGGTGGCTCCAGCCGCACCAGCCTAGCTGAAGCACTCATTGGCACAGCAGCCCAGGGGTACAGGCCCAGCCCAGGGAGTGCAGGCCCTGCGCACCAGCAGGGCAGCACCCCGCCAGGGGCATGTGTGGCTTCCAAAACCAAGGCTGTCGTACTTAACAACCAAGAGCATCGTTCAGTGTTAGCCCAGGAGCTCTTGCCACCGATGAAAATGTAAACCCTTAGATCCTTCGTTCACATTTATCACTTTGAGGAATTAGGAACAATTACAGCCACCAATACAAAAAGGGATTGGTTACTGACCTTCGTGGGGACACACACGTTATCATTCCGCTTGCCATCTGGTGGCATGTAACGGTGCCAATGGAACTAAATCAAGTTTTTCACTTTGTTTCAAAAGAGAGATGCTTAGTAAGCACAGCTTTTGGTTCCTTTCCCGCACATGGCAATGGCTGTGACACAGCCTGCTGGGAGAGGACTGCGGCCCTGCCCGGGCTGTGTGTCTTCTGGCATAATTCTTGCTAGCCATCTTTCCCTGTCTCTCGATGGACATTGCATTTGCTTTTGCTGACCTTACACATTTCTCACCTTGTCACATTTGGTTCCAGCCACTAGGCAGGACACATCTCCTCCCAGGCGCTTGGCTGCCGTGATGGTGTTTAGAGTGATGGGGGCCAGGGAGTCATTGGAGTGCTCAGCTATCACCAGTGTACTCTGGAACCGCAGCAGAGAGGCCTACACGGGGGGGAACAGAGAGAAGGGGGAAAGAAAAAAACACAGAATTTTACCAAAGTTTTTTGCTATTTAATCTAATTGTTAAGCGTGCATGTTTTAAAGAAGAAGATTTTGTAGATACCACTTTTTTAAATGTTTACATTTTTATTATTATTATTTTCATTGGAGTGGCAGACATACAGAGAGAAGGAGAGACAGGGAGGAAGATCTTCCATCCGATGATTCACTCCCCAGGTGGCCACAACGGCTGGAGCTGAGCAGTTCTGAAGCCAGGAGCCCAGAGCCTCTTCTGGGTCTCCCACACAAGGTGCAGGGTACCAAGGCTTTGGGCCATTCTCGACTGCTTTCCAAGGCTACAAGCAGGGAGCTGGACTGGAAGCAGGGCCACCAGGATGAGAATCAGCACCGATACGGGATCCCAGCGTGTGCGAGGACCTTAGCCACTAGGCTACCGTGCCGGGCCTGACACCACTCACTTCTATAAACATACTCAGGAGTGCATGTTTGGCATAATGGTTTTTGTTTTGTGTTTTGAAAGATTATTTTATTGCAAAGTCAGATATATAGAGAAAGGAAGAGGACAGAGAGAAATACCTGCCATCCGATGATTCACTCCCCAAGTGACCACACGGCCTGTGCTGCACAGATCCAAAGCCAGGAGCCAGGAGCTTCTTTCAGGTCTCCCACACGGGTGCAGAGTCCCAAGGCTTTGGGCCACCCTCGACTACTTTCCCAGGCCACAAGCAGGGAGCTGGACAGGACGCGGGACTGCCAGGATTAGAACTGGCACCCATATGGGATCCCGGTGTGTTCCATACGCGGACTTTAGCTGCTAGGCCAGAGCATCAGGTCCTATAGTGGTTTTTTAAAAATATATATATATATTTATTTTTATTGGAATGTCAGATACACAGAGAGGTGAAGAGACAGAGAAATATCTTCTGCCCAATGAGTCTCTCCCCAAGTGACTGCAACAGTCGGAGCTGAGCAGATTCTAAGCTAGCAGCCAGGAGCTTCTTCCGGGTTTCCCACACGGGTGCAGGGTCCCAAGGCTTTGGGCCATCCTTGACTGCTTTCCCAGGCCACAAGCAGGGAGCTGGATGGGAAGCGGGGCTGCCAGGATTAGAACTGGCACCCATATGGGATCCCAGCGTGTGCAAGGTGAGAACATTAGCCACTGGGCTACCTGGGCCCAATAAAAACTGTTTTTAGTAATATTCAGTTCCGGGCCTTGTGGGATGGCTTAATGGCTAAATCCTCACCTTGCAAGCACTAGATTCCATGTGGGCACTGGTTCCATGTGTCCCCGACAAAGCTCACACATGGGAGAGCCAGAGAAAGCTCCTGATTACTGCCCTTAGGCCAGCCCAGTTTTGGCTGTTGCACCTATGTGAGGAGTGAACCAGCAGAAGCAAGATCTGTTTTTTTTGGTATGTCCCTTTCTCTCTCAATCTCTAATTTTTTCTTACGTTTTTAAAATGTATGCAAAAATTTGGCTTTACTTTCTGAAGTATCCTACCTTCATGGGATTGGTACTTTTTTAAGACCTCTCAGGGTAATGAAAAGTGCTCAGGAGCTCTTTAACAATGATTGCTACAAACTCTCCTTCCAAAAACCAGCATTCAGGGCTGGTGCTTGTGGTGACGTGGGAAAAACCACTGCCTGCCCCAGCTGCTGCACTCCAATCCAGCTCCCTTCTGGCCTGGAGGAAGCAATGGAGGATGGCCCAAGTGTGGAGCCCCTGCCACCCATACAACAAACCCGGAGAAGACCCTGGCTCCTGCTTTCAGCCTGGCCCCGTCTCAGCTGCCGCACCATTTGGGGAATGAACCAGTGCATGGAACATTCACTCATTCATTCATTCTCTCTCCCTCCCTCCCACTAATTCTTTCAAATTAAAAAAAAAAATCTTAAAATCTAGAAATTCACAATTCATAATTTCTACACCTGCAATTTCTACATCTGCTTATTTTTGTATCCCCCGAAAGTAACACAATGTTCCTTTTCCAATATACATCAGTAGACTTAAGTATACAGTCTTTTTTTCTTTTTTAATCAGAAGAGTACCATATCTTATAAAGGACACTATAATTAATACCCAGTAGCAAAATTTATGATTCAAATCACATTTCACAAGATTTGCCAGTAACAAACTATTTATTACCAATATAATTCAGACACTATATTTTTGATTATGTTTCATACATCATTTACCATAAAAATTATGAGATTTCCATCACCATATGAAGACTAAATCCAAGATTTGGTGGCAGGAGGCCCATATTTGCTGTAAAGTATAGCTCTATCAAGATAAATGGGATAGTTTTCCTAAGAAATTGTCAAACTTTTCAGAATTTCAAGTGAGACAATTCGAGGCTTGGGTGGATAGAGCTCCTGACAGCGTGGCGACTGCTGCGGGTACTTGAGTCAGGTCAGACTCAGTGCTTGGGACCCTAGTTCCAGCCACTGCTGCTAAGTGGTGAGTGAATCCTGGGGGATGGCGAGCTCTGGGGCTTTGGGGGTATGGAATTACTGCCTAGAGACATCCACTAATAAGGCCATTCATTGTAGGGACTCCCAATGACAGGGCCACTATACTTGCAGGTAAGCAAGGGGACTGAGACCTGGTGGTTTGGAGGGGAGAGACCAGAAGATCTGTATGGGTCAGACTGATTCACCACCCCACATGGGAGTCCTAAGATGGGCTTGGTAGCATGGAACATTGCTGACCACCACACGCCAGTCCACAAGGAAACTAGGGCTGGGGACCTGTCTAGCAGGGCTAGGTCCCCAATACCTGAGTTTCGGGACAGGGGACGGGTCACATTAAGCAGGGCCATGATCCTAACCAGCACGCGAGAACCATGTCTAGAGTTAGACTCTGTGGGCCATATGTGGGCCAAACCCTGTTGAAATACAAGTTCCACTAGTTAGCTCATGAGTTGTGGTGGGGATGGGCTGAGTTAGTGACCATGGAACCTGCCAACACTCATGAGTACAGAGACCGAGAACAGTCTGGGCAGGTCCAGACTGCCACACCTGCATGTGCATCCTAAAATAGGCTGCACCATTCACCAGTTCATACAAGGCCAAGATGGAGGGGCAGGTTATGTCAGGCAAGGGCGTAGCACCCGCTGGCATGCATGAGATCTGGGTCTGGGAGAGGGCCAAGTGGAGGAAGGTGGGTAACTCCCCTGGTGGGTCATAGTTCCCGCTGGTGAGCATGTGGTCCAGGCATGGGGTTGGGCAAGCTGAGGAGGTAGCTCCAAATGATGGCAAATGTGTGAGCTGGTTTTGGAAGGGGGTGGACAGGGCAGGGCCAAGCAAACCTTGGCTTACCAGCAAGTGTAGAAACCAGGCTGGAGCACAAGTCTTGTCAGGCTAGGCTGTCACACCTACCAGTTTGCATGAGCCAGGGAAAGGAGCAAGGCCAAGTTCCAGTACCTGCCATTGAGAGCTGAGACTGGGGGCAGGCCGGGGCAGGCCAGGCTGTAGCATCCAAAGGCAAAGGCTAAGACAGGTGAACTATGCCAAGCTGGATCAGAGCAACCACTGGCACGTGCAAGTTCTATGGCTGGAAACAGACCTGGTTGGGAGCTAAGCGGACACCTTGGTTGGGCTGTGATTCCCACCAGTGAGAGTGAAGGTTAGAGTGAGGGATGATATTTGGTCTGGACACGGCTGCAGTGTCCCTCGGCACATGTGTGGACTGGGTCTGGGGTGCGTCAGACTGGGCTAGAATCCTGCACTCACCAGTGCTCATGAGAACCAGAGTAGGTATAAGATAGGCTAGGCCAGTTCTCTGCCCCTGCTGATCCTTGTGTGAGTTGTGTCTGGGTGTGGACCAGGCTTGACTGGGCCCAACAGTAAAAACCGGAATGGGTTGAAGGCCAGTGAGGGAAGGCCACTGTTTCTGCTAGGACAGGAGGTGGACTAAGCAGGGCTGGTCCATCAACCCACTGACGGGCACGAGATCTTGCACTGGGAGAGGTTCTGATGGAGGAACTTGGGCAACTCCTCTGTCAGGACACAGTCCCTGCAGGTGAGTGCAAGAACTACAGTTGCAAGCAGCCAGACCAGGCCAGGGAATGGTACCCACCAGCATACATTTGACGCAGGTCAAGGGCAAACCAGGTAGGGCCAGTTCACATCACCAGCTGGTGAATCCGAGCACCAGAATGAAGTGTAGGTCGGGACAGGTTGGGTCACAACACGTGCCAGTTCACATGAGGGCAAAGACTAGGGGCCGGCTGGGCTGGGCTAGACTTTAGCCCCAACCAGCATGAGCTGGGACTGGAGGTGGGCAGGACCAGGCCATGCTGGGCCAGGCTACAACACCCACTGGCAAATGTCGAAGTGAGACAGGCCATGCCAGACCAGGCGACAGCACCCACCAGCACACATGAGATCCAGGGATGGAGGGGGTGAATCCAGTAAAGGGTTTGCGAGGAGCTCCTCTGCTGGGACACCACTCCCACTGGTGAGCGTGAGAGTTGGGATTGGGGGCAGACTGGTTGGGTGCTACACCACCTGTTGGCCTCATGTAAGCAGGATCAGGGAAAAGCCAAGCTGGGTTGACTGTTCTTACTGGTGCATGCTCAAGCCAGAGTGGGTGTGGGTTGGTTGGGTTTAGCTGCAACATCAGCTGGCAGATGCTGGCATGGGGGGCAAATTCTGTCAAGTTAAACTGCAGAACCTGGGCCCAGCGCCGTGGCGCAAGTGGTTAAGGTCCTCGCCTTGAAAGCCCAGGATCCCATATGGGCGCCGGTTCTATCCCGGCAGCCCCGCTTCCTTTCCAGCTCCCTGCCTGTGGCCTGGGAAAGCAGTCGAGGACGGCCCAAAGCTTTGGGACCCTGCACCCGCGTGGGAGACCTGGAAGAGGCTCCTGGCTTCGGACCGGCATAGTATCGGCCGTCGCGCTCACTTGGGGAGTGAATCATCGGACGGAAGATCTTCCTCTCTGTCTCTCCTCTCTGTATATCCGTCTTTCCAATAAAAAA